TGCTCCTGCAAGTTATTCTGGGTAGGGCTGCTACTAAATAAAAATGCTCTCCGGGGTATTGACCTGTCATTTTGTTATTTCAACCCCAAAGTATCATCAAATAAATTTTAGATTAACAAATGATGAATTCCTAAGAAAACATGCATCCAAATTCCAGTGTACAATTCCAGACTGATGTAAGTTTTCACAGTTAAAAATACTGGGTTGTTTAAGGGACGCATGGCGAAATGCTCCTCCAACAGCTGAATATGTCCTCCAGCACCTGTGTCCAGGGTGGCCACCACTCATGACCTGATCCTGTCTCTTCTCTTCGCATTACTCAAGCAAATCATGTGCCAAAATGGTGAGCAGACAGTTAATGTAAAACCCCAGCAGGCCTGGACTGTAATTTTCAGCCTACCTTCAGCAGAAGAGAATCATTACAGCACCTTCAATATCCTCATAGTTCAGGTCTGGCCATGTTACATAGCACCAGCCATCAGCCAGGACACTTCAGGGTTGCTTTATTTTATACCTGACCCTACAAGAAGGATGTTTGCTGCTGCTGACAAGAGCCAACGACAAAATATCTTGGTTCTGCCACTGGCTGGAGAGGAGAAGACTCGAGCTGGTGCATTAACAGAGCCCGGAGGCAGAGGGGTATTCCTCAGCGGGCAGTTTTCCCAGTTTTCACAGGTCCTGGATGCCTCTAATCAGCCTGACATCTGGATTCAATTTCTTCAAAGAAAGAACCTGCGACATTTTAATCCCTTTGGCGGCTTGAAGTCTCGGGGAAAACGAAAGCATCCATTACATTCATAGCATATTCATTTTCATTGTTGTGCGTGTACGTTTTGAAATCCTATTTACTAGGAACTGAAATCCACCTAAAAACTCACTTTACAGCTATTCTTAATGTGCTATATATAGCGTAACATGCAGAACACTGAGGACTGGAATAAATAAGATCTCCATAGGCAATCATCTTCTGCCATACTTGTCCACGTATCCAGGACAGTCAGACACCCTCTGCCGTACACAAAGTTGTTTACTGTCCGTGAGCTGTTTAACATTCCACTCCCAGATATTTATATTCGGAGCCAAATTCAGAGCAGTATTCTGGAAAATGAGCAAAAGTAGGCTATGACCCATCAAGAGACTATTGGGTCATCTGAAAAGTTTACGAGCCGGTCTGGAATCCAGCATTTATTTTGGATGGTGGGAGGTCACTATAATTAGCTGCCATTCAACTGCATTATACAGTTACAAATTAAAAAAAAAAAAAGAAAAGACCCAACCCACAGTGCAGATGCGGTTTTACTGAAATACAACCTATGACATTCTGCAGACCCCTGTAGAAAACAAGTTACCTCAACCATCCCCGAAGTGAACATTTGTGCGCTCAGGCCAGAAAAGCAATTTCCAGCTTATGAATATGAATGCAACACCAGAAAACACAGACCGTCCAAGCTCGTGGTATTATTAAACACGACATCTGCCCTAACAACAAAGTAATGGAGCGAGAAGCTACAGTTGACTTCAGCTCCCAACCTGCTCACGTGCCAAATGTTGTTTTTCAGAGTTGCACGGTGTAGCCAATGCCAGAGATGTTCGTTTTGATCAAAGTCTATTTCCAAATACAAATTTGTAACTTATGCACGGGCACGTTCTCGCATGAATCAGACACGCCAATAAAATTCCCATAAAAGTCCTCTAGAGCGGTTGTATCTTTGTGAGGGGGAAGGGAAGGAGTGTTTTTGTTGTTTCTTTAAAGCTTGTGGATATATATTCCAAAGGAAGGAGTTACCGCTGCAGTTTCTTGCGTTATTCAGTGGTGATCTTTAGGCTTTGTTATCCCTGCCTGAAGCCAAGCTGCTTGGGGGGACTCTGACCATGGAAAGACACTCATTGATGGTTTCAAATGAATGCAGACACAAGGATTCTCTCTCCACCTCCTCTTTTTTTCCAAGTAATATTTTACATCTAAAAAAAATAAAAATCAGTGTTTATCTGCCTTCCCTGGAGAGACTGTCGCTGTCAGCTTTATCGTCACAGTCTCTCTCTGCTGTCAACACAAGTACAACTCTAGGGCTTGTTTGGGCTGAACTCCTGTCCAGGCTGAGTAATATTCACAGAATGGGTCCCAAAAAGGTGAATAAGGCTTTGAGAAGGACACAGCACGGAGGTGCATAAGAGGGGTCCTCACTAAGACTTCACTTCCTCTCTGAAATCCTTCTTCCTAAAGCCTTACAAGGACATCCCAAACTGACAGAACACACCGTCCAGACGAGACATGATTCTTACACGTTACTCAGCCTTGCTTCATTTTGCCTCTGGTAAAATACACCATCGTATCCGTCTGTCCCCTGTCATATACTGAAAAGTATTTATCTAGTTGCTAACAAACATCAAGACACACACACCTTCAAAAAACACAGTGCTGCTTCCTCCCTCCCATGAATCATTCGGCACCTTACATAACTGCGGGGGTAATACGGAACCGTTTCATATGTGATCACTTAACAAAAAGTTGGTCATAAACCTACCCGAAATGCAAAAATAACTCTCAGTTTTAAAGTGTAAAGATCTGCTTAAGAAATCCCTGTCCTCAGTTTCTTGTTTCTGACCCTGCACTGCAATTCACTCTCCCTTCTGTCTTAACCAGACCATTATCAACAGCCCATGTTGTAGTATGGCTCCAAACATGATCTGGGGAGAAAATACCTTCTTTCTCCCAAAAGGAGGGTTTTTTTGGCACAAGAGAAGTGCTGAAGGAAGCAGATGCTGTAACTATGGTCTCGGGTTGTAACTTCCCGCTCATATTTTGGTAACGTTTGGAGGGTTTTAGGCTGTATGTTAAATTAGAGGCTTAACAGATCTAACAAATCTGGTTCATTTTTGAGTAGGACCCTGGGTGGCACCGGGGAGGTGAACAAGCCCAAATAAACAAGAATAGCCGGGGCATTGCAGTCCGTCTGGACTGGTGTGATCTCCCTTGCCATTTTGCATACCATCTTCCTGGCATGCGGAAC